CCCCGGGACACCGGGACCCCCGCACTCCCGGCACCTAAAACCTCGGGGACCCCACAGCCGCATCCCCGGGACCCCGAAACTCGGACCCCTTCAGACCCACCCCCTCTCCGGTCCCGGGTCGGGTTTCGCTCCCGCCTGGGATCCGGTTCCCGCTGGGATCCGGTTCCCGCTGGGATCCGGTTTCCCGGTGGAACCCGACGCCGGCCGGGATGCAGGTCGGGCCCCCGCCTTTAGGGATGCTGCCCGTGCCCGATGGCTCCCGGGGGACCGGGAGGATCCCGGCGGGTCCCGGGGGACCGGGAGGATCCCGGCGGGTCCCGGGCACCGGGAGCGCTCAGGAATCCGCCGGCCCCGCCCCGCAGGAATGCGCGGCCGGCGCGCGCCATGCCCAACTAAGGGCAAATTGCGCAGGAGGGGCCCGAACCCCCCCGGTCCCGGTTCCTGCCCCGGTTCCTGTCCTGGTTCCTGCCCCGGTGCCCAACCCAGCCCCGCACCCCCGGCCCCGAACCCCCCATCCCCCGGTTCGAACGGCCCCGCCCGGGCCGGACTTTGCACCGGGAAAGGCCCCGCCCGAGGCCGCGCAGGAAGCGCCGGGGGCGGCGGGACCGGGCGGGGCCGGGGGGGGGTCCCTTGGCCGTGCCCCGAGCTTGGGGGGCTCCGCTCCCGGTACCCGGTACCCGGTGCCGGTCACTCACCCGCGGTCTGCTCCTCCGAGAAGTCGCACTGCGGGGAGAGCGCGGCGGTCAGAGCGCACCGGCGGCGGCACCGGCGGCGGCACCGGCGGCGGCACCGCCCGCGGATGGAGCGGCCGCCCGAGCTCGGTGCCCGCCCGGTGCCCCCGGTACCCCCCGAGCCATCCCCTCCCCGCCGCGACCCCCGGCCCGGCCCCCCCGCGCCCCGCCCGCGCATCCCCCGCCCCAACCGCGGCTCCCGGTGCCGGTTCCGGTGCCCGTCCCGGTGCCCGCCCCCGGTGTCGGTGCCCGGTGCCGATGCCCGGTGCCCACCATGGCGGCGGCTGCTGCTCCCGTCCGTTCCTGCGCGCTCGGGCGTCACCGCGCGGCTGCGTCACGGCGGTAATGAGGGTGTTAATTATTCATGAGTGGGCGGGGCCGGGCGGGGCCACGCCCTTTGCCCGCGGGGGATGTTTTGGCTATAGATGGGCACGGAGCGGTCACCCCCACCCCCCACGGGGACACCCCAGACCCA